AWWYTCTWTWAAGTTATATTTCAAAAGACCTAATSGAATTCAAATCCTGTGGGAAAAAGAAAATACAATGAACAATGAAACTCMCGGRTGGTTTGAATTGGGTGGAAACGTTTATAGCGTTAGCCKATTAGGTCTATTAGATACGTTTAATTTCATTTATGACATTAACATAGAAGAGAAGTGGCCCTTAGAATAAATAATGCATGGACTCRTTAATTTAGGAACAGGCTATGCCCCGTTACGCGCGTCCATTAGGGTTTGTTCTTGGCTTCCAAACTCCTMGCTTGTGACGTTTTGCATTACAACGACCCGCGTCAATACTTTGAAAAGATTTATTTCCTTTGTATTTGAATAAGTTATTTGTTCAGTCAGTCGCCACTTCAAGTTTCATCTCTGAAAAGCAGGTGAGCCATCCATCTATATCACTTTATATTCCATGCTCCTTCACAATTACAGCCTCTTTGAACGTTCTCAAGACSGTCAACACAAGATCTTTAATCAGGGATTCAAGAACGTCACAACCGTCAACAACKTACTACTATAATCTACTCCAAATACGCCCTGAACGTCGCTTTATTCATTTCCATAGGGTTTCCGGCCACTTTAACTGGAAAAAATCGCACTCTTTAAAATGTTTATTGAATTGTGTGGAATTTGCATTTACATCATATTTTGATAAAATTCACAACCTTCAAGAAGGGTGATTTTTCCCAGTGCTTGTTATGAATTCAATTCACATTAGATGCCTATAATTTGTATAAGCTATTGCTAGAAAGAAATGGTAGATTATCTCGTCATTTACTAAAACAAGAGTCAAAATCGAATCATGTACTATGAATCCACCTTGTTGCAATTTAACACTTTTTAGATGTTCTTATTATTCGAATGCTTTTGTTACTTCCAGAAGGCTTTAATAAAAATACTGATGAGAAAGATGGCGAGGATGATCATTACTGCTGTAATAATATTACTTGTTTACAATACTGTRAAYGCTGGAAAAACACGCTTCCATCTTCCAAAAGTAATCAGGGATAAATTTCGCAAGCTTCAAGTTCTTGTCAAAAGAAATGGTGAACCAAGAGGAGAGCCTTTTACCCCTCTCATTGCCAAGCCCCACYCTTCTCAGCGCGTTGYCATCGTCGGTGCAGGACTGGCAGGGCTCCACATGTCGTATCTGCTCAAARAGAGGGGCTTCAACAAAGTTGTTATCCTTGAGAAAGAATCCCGAATTGGTGGCAAAGTTATGAGTGTATGGCACGATGAATGTCCACATGAATTGGGTGCCGTATACACCGGGTCACATTACCAAAATAGTATATACGCMCTTGCAAAAGAACTTGGTGTGGACGAGTTTGTTCCTCGACCACAAAACGTTGGTGTTTGGCTTGATCATCTACCGGTGCCACTTCCATTCTCACAGTAYATCATAGACACAATTAAGAAATTCACGAATGCAAGTAACACTTTTGAAGCTGTTGAAGAACTTCTCGACGCAGCTGTACGCTATTCTGTTCTTCATCGACGMTTGTTTGGTAAATATGAGGGCGAATTAATGCAGAAGCCATGCATTCGAGTTCTCTCWCACTTAAACCAAACGTTTATGTCTTACCTAACTGAACATCGCCTYCTTGCTTTGTCTCCAATCTTGATTRCAACTCATACTATCCAAGGTTACGATCATCTTGATGAGATTTCAGCTTTATATGGCCTTCTTTGGAATACACCTGATTTTTTACAAGGTATGATAGCATTGGGTCTCGGAATGGGAGGCAGAAGTAATAGTGATATGTTTCGTTACGGYTTCCAAAAGTTAACAGACAAACTTGCAGTATACGCTGATATTCGCCTTAATGTGAATATTGAGAATATTCAAAGAGGCTGTGGTGGCATAACTATCAGWTATACAGATGACCAAGTCAATTACGCAAAAACTGAGAAGTTTGATTTCCTAATTTGGGCAGCCGATYCCCGTGAGGCACTACAGGTACTCAGTCAAACCTCAATTTTGGAAGATGAATTTTMTCATCTCCGGAATACCTGGTTTACTGCAACTTTGTTCGAATCTAAGGAGCGATGCCTTGCCTCACCACCTATAGAATATTGGATGGGCAATGTTGTCAACAAAAGGGAGCACTCTGTGTGGGCACGTAGAAATTCAAAGTTGGCGRTCAATGGAGGTGACTGGCCAACAACAGAGGCTCTAAAAACCCCAATCTCATTTATATCATACCAAATGGGAAGCTACGCTCCTGTTGAAACGTCTTTAATCAATGCAAAGTTTAMGAAACATTTCCAGGAACGTCATGGCTTGGATGACATCAATGTCATTGACCGAAAAACATGGAATTATTTCCCCCGCTTTTCGACGAACAAAATTGCAGAAGGCATTCTTTGGGAGATTCTTGAATATCAAGGAGATATGAATACWTGGTACATAGGTTCGTCTGTGATATTTGAATCGGCTAGGAGTGTGGTGGAATACAATCAACTCATGATGAGGAGAATGGATTTGTGACCTTATAATTCTTCGTTTGCAYAATACGTCACAGCAACCATCAACAAGGATTTGTCATTAGTATCTATTTGTTCATTCATCCAACATGGTCACCGGTTTTTGTCTTTTGAATTTCATGGAAATGGTTGAAAATGATGCAATTAGACCTTAATGYTCTCGCTTTAAATTAAAGAACATCAGCATGATGAGGCGTCTCCCAGTGATTGATTGGTGTAGATTTTCTTCCTCAACCTCAGTTAATAATATATATCATCAAATCAAATTTAATATCTCAAATGTGAATATAACAATTATTAAATACATGTTAAGATTAATCAGATTTTGTAGCTGAAAAAAAAATGTTACATCGATGATATTTGACCATTTTTGAGGAATGGGAATCTCCAAAATGCTCTTTTGTCATTGCAATACCGAGTTTGCCAGAGTCTAAAGAATGTTAACGATTGGAGAATTTTTTATGGCATCTRTTTTCGACATTTCTATATTCTTGCCATTTTCTTATTCGTTCTTTAAGACCGACAGCCTATCCTTGCTGCAAATCTTCGAAGCACTGTCCTACATGCCTGGCGCACATCGCTCATTCTGTACATATGCACAATTGGATTCACGGCTGACACCAGATACCAAAAGCTAGATGAGGCAATAACAAGCGCAGAGCTGGTTGAGCGTGGTCCTCCTCCAAAAAGCAAATAAATATAAGCGCAAATACATGGAATTCCCAACACCACGAATATAACCTCTACAATTATCAGTGTAATGGTACTTCTTTTGTATTTCTTCCACTCCAAACATGACTGAACACACTCCCCAGCGGCGCTGGATGTCACCTTATTGGAGGCCTTTACTGCAGTGGAGTTGGTTCTCACTATAAAGTCRCCCACTGACACTTGGTGCTTTCTGATTTGGTTCAGCGCTTTGATGTAACATGTCGACATTACACAGTAGCAGACATTGGAAAAGACAAATATGGCATACGCATTTGGCATAGGGTTTTTTAGAAAGAAGATGAACACAATTGCAGGAATTGGCGAGGTGAACCAAATCAATAGCACAACAATCCGRATTCTTCTTAGTGTGACTAAGTATCTGTAGTCCAAACTTAGGCTTACAGCTAAATATCTATCGATGCTGAGACATACCGAGCAGAGGGCAGAAACCCATGAGATCGACCAAGACACTGGAATAGAAATATCAATTAAAATGCAGACTCTGTAAAGTTCTTGCTTTAATCCACTTATAAGAAACTGGACGTGAATGATGCCTAAGAACAAAGCCATCAGTAGATCACTAAAAGCCTGGAAAGCTATCAGTCGAAAAGAAGGGGTCTTCAGATTCGGTGATAACAATATGCCAGCCATAAGAAGAACATTTCCTGATATACCTGCAAGCGAGGTCAACACGGTAGTTACAGAAAGGACGAGGTAAAGTGAAAAATAAGCTTCAAAGTCTTGAGTATTGATCCATGGCTGATCGCCAAAATAGCAGACCCACGAAGCTAACGGAGCGCTAAAGTTTCCCGAGGTGTCCATTTTCATTGAAATAGTCGTCTTCCCTTTGCAGTTACCAAATAATATTATACAGATAAATGTTTTAATGGGCTGCAATTTGTATTTACTTTACGAAGCCTGACGTCAATACATCATTGTAGATTGATTTTAAATACGAAAATACGAAAAATATAATTTGCATTTAAATATCGTTCGCGGAAAAAAACATAACAACTCACTTATCTTCAAGTATACACTTTATACAGAATAAGATGGTTCATAGTTCTGTCGCCAAATTATCCAAGTATATTAAAATTTAATCAATAACGTCAKTGGACAATGAGTTATCATTAATCATGTACTGGTCGTCAGTTGTTTGCAATTTCAGGAGTTATTAAAGTTCCAGTCAAGAGCAAACAGTAGTGAATAACATAATTAGTGCATATAGCTTCTCCTACTTTAGTGAAATACTTTATGAAAGATTGGTAGATAAAAACGTTTTATTCCAAACCACATTTTAGCTAAACTATACTAGATTGTACGTTCTGTGATATTTCTCTTAAACTGAGCGTAATGATATTAAATTACTTTAAAAAAAAAACACTTTTAATTGACGTCTTAAGCCATCAGTTGTCCTCCGTTTCACGCACAAAAAAGCCTTGATTAAAGAAAAAACTAGTTTTCGTCTCTAACGGAGACCTTATCAATTTAAATCAGATTCTATTTAATCTGGACTACGTTTATGTGACAAATATAAATAACTTTAATCAATTTTATGAGATTTCTAAGAAATAGGAAGCTCCCACTGGCTGATGACCGTGTTTATATCAGAGTACAATGACATGGCATAGCGCTCGCATCCTTGAAAAAAGGAAATTAGAAAATTGATAAATACAAAACGACCTCTTGTGTCTCAGTCCTCATACAAGCACTTTGATAGATAGAAGGTACTGGAGAATAAAGAGAAAAACACTCACTGCTCTAGTGTTCCSAGGGTYRCTTATCRTGTTCTCTATGTCCGGSCCCRCACCTGTGTGTTTTCATCAGAGAASAAAGATRAGAACGGTTGTTATTACGTASATTTTTAAAAATGAGAAATAATTTAAATTTAGATTAAAAATTGTGCGTTAAAGACTTACAAATCCTTCTTATCTCTAATATGATGAGAAATTAAATGCAAATAACATTTCTCATTAATTTTAGTTGTTTTGGCGTTCGAAAGGGCCTAAATTATCACCAATTGTATATAACAGTACATTGTTTGACAAAGATTACAGCCAGATGCGAAATATAGTGCTCAGTTCTTTATAATAATATATRTACTTATATTTTTACTAACCACATTGTTTTATAACTCACGTTCAATTTTGGATATGTCGTTTGTCAACATATAGAGAAATATAAGTACGGTCATCATTTCTATATGTCGACATGGAGAAAGCTGGGCAAACAAGAGCAAAATTGGTCATTATAAATACGGAGACCATTTATTAATAATCACACAGTTTTAAATACATGATATTAATAATTATTGATTTACACACCTCATTGCCTAGCAAAAGTTTTACACAGTTTCTCATCTCATAAAGCTTTTAATCTAAGAACATTATAATTGCAAAATAATGATTGATCATTGTCTCAACTTAAGACTCATAATATAACTTCAAAAAACGTTGTCATCACCAAGACACAGTCCACAGTCTTGCTCCTGCAAAGAATCTCTATGCGTAATTAATATATTCAATGTAATTTCCACTCAATGGCGGCAAACACTTCTAAATATACTGTTGCGGGCATTAAACCCATCTAACAAGTCTCGCCACGAGACATTTTCCAGATTGAAAAATAKTCCACATCTTCAATCCGTCAATAAGCTTCAAAGCTATATTCGATACAGAGACCGAAAACTTTGAATAATTACTGAAAGTGAATATATAATTATGGCAATACCGAGATTCTTTGCAGGCTCAAGAGCGTGGACTAAGTCYTAGCAACAACATAAACAAAATAAGTGTATACAGCAAAGCTTCAGGGGATTGTATAGATTGTGGAGATTACATTTATAACAGATAAATTAAAGAGAACATAAAAAGCGGTTGGTTATRTACATAGTACTCGAGCAGGAAGAGAAACCCATATTTCCCACCGTATTTATATCTTAACTGGGACACGGAAGACCGTTTTATTTTTCTTGTATGACTAATATAATTTGTTCCTAAGAGAGACCCCGTTGTTGGCAAATCTTGACCACATTCTTCCGATTTGCAAAATGGAACAATGAGTTAATCTAAGAAACACCACCTTACAAGCCTGCYTCACTGCACCACTCATTCTGCAGATGTGAATTAAAAGGTTTATTGCTGGAAAAWGATGTCGAATGCAAGAAGGGCAAACTTAAATACGAGATCTGATGTACTCAGTAGCGACAGCAAATCACYAACTCCATTGGAGAGGCATCATCAATATTATAGAGTCAACTTCTACGATGATCAACGTCTGCTTGCTTCTCTTGTAGTTTTTTTTTCATTGGTGCTGCACCCAATAGAATTCTCTCCGTTATTTGAATCACCTTCCATCGCATCCGGACCCTGTTCTTATCTATAGTTTGACTGTGTCCATCAAACACTCAACAATTGACCCCTTGCATGTGATGCCAAAACAGCATATTCTGGAGGACAAAACACAATATATTTGCCCGTATGGGGAACTAGAGCACATTGTGCTGTCCTYCAGTCGTAGTTCCATKCCCATGAGCTGCAAGGGGTCTATAGAGGGAATATTCAATGAATTAWTTTGAGCAGCACTGACTTACAAGCTTGCCTGACATCGCTCATTCTGTAGATATGTATGACAGGGTTTATTACCGGAGAAAAATTCCAAATGCATGTTGCGGGCATATAACTGGTGATGGAAGCCAGAGAACCACTGATGAAATTAAACGCCCAAGTGCATGTAAGAGGCAACTGCAATGCTGCATAAACAACTTCTATGATGATCAAAGTGTGTATGCTTCTTTTGTACTTGTTCCGCTCAACGGAGCTCGTTTCAATGTTTGATTGACCTTCTGAGGAATCCGTTGTTGCATTTGCTGAGCTCGATACACAATTACCCAATGATTTAAGCTTTTTTAAAGAAATGGAGTAACAAAACGCCATAATGATAAAGCATACAGTTCCGAATATTATTATTAGTTCGGTGCTTACCAAGTTGTCCAGTGCAAAGAATGCTACGAGCGACATAATTATTGCTGAAAGCCAAACAATAATTGTAACAACTCGAACTCTTTTTAGTGTCACTATTGCTCTGTAGCGTATGCCTAAATGTAAAGCCAAGAATCTGTCAATGCTTAGAGTCACTGAATTAGTGATTGAAAGCCAAGAAATACCCGAAGCAACCAGTAAACAATACTCAAACATTGTACATACAGCGGAAGAGTTTTTAACCATGTATATATGTATTTGCATAATGAAAAAYACCATYAAATAGACAGCCATAATCAAGTCACCAAATGCCTGACTGGCTATCAAATGATAGGACGGYGTTTTAAGGCTTGGGGTTTTCAATATGGCYGAGATCAGAAGGAGATTTCCTACAAATGCGACCAACGAAATCAAGCCACTGGATATGAAGAGAAAGTAGGACACTACGGTCCAATTCAGACTTGCTGTCGTCTTTTCAATGTCTTTAAGACATGCAGGCAATACAAGAATATAAGGGGTGCTAACATTGCTAGAGTTGGCTCCCTGATCCATTC